GTAGCCGTGCCCTTACAATCTGCATAATTGAATTTTTTCCCCCGCTCTTTCCCCGGTTCAGTTGAGCATCGACCATAAAATTCCATTCCGTAGGTATTTCTACGTTCACGCACGGGTGGCGTGACCGCACATTCATTAATTTATTCGCTCGCTCATTCGCTCATTCGCCCGCCCGCCCGTTCATTTGAGCCGATGTAACATTTGAGATGAGAATGGGGCCGACTTGTGGGTGCGCGCGGTGGGGGAGGGGGGGGTACTGGCGAGGCTTCATAAATTCAGCCCCGGTTCTGTCGGGGTCGACAGCCCGGAAAAAAATTCCCACACTCAGCACACCACGTCCAGTTTACCTCGGACCACTTTGGCTCTGATAGTCGTGCCTCCTGGAGTCTGCCAGCGAGATGAAAACATCTCCACACCCGGTACGGCACACCCAGTAGAACTTGTCACGATGGATGTTATTCACGCAATTATAACAATTTACGTATTTATCATGGAAAGTTACAATGCGCCTCCTTCAGTCCGCTAGCCACCCCTAACCGTACCCCCCACAGCCGGCACACCACATCGAGCACACCTCTCACTCTGCCCGTGGGTACAGGTCAAGGGCCCCTTTACACCAGCCCGCCAGTAAATATTTGGGGCGAGAGGTGAGGCCTTGGTGGCACCACTGGGCCCCGCCCTACGTTGGCTCGTCTCAGGGAGCTACCGTCAACGTTTCTACCGAACACAGATCACCGCACCCGGTTGTCCAGCGCAGTTGCACGGGCCTGCACACTCGATAGTCACGTCGTGAATTTCAACTGAATCTGTCCGGGTCAGTGACCCGGTTGCTCTCTACACCCCTGGGAGACCACCACTTCCAGTGTACCTCTCGCCGCTATGGCCGTGACAACTAAAGTCGTCACGTGCCATCCAGTTTTGACGTGTCCGGGAAATGTTTTTATTTTTATTGCGCGCGGTCGCTGTGGAGGGAGAGAGAGAGAAAGAGAGAGGCCGCGCTCGGTGTTACGTTGCCGTCCCCCTTGCAGTGGACGGGCGACCTCGGAAAATGTCCCCGGCGAGAAGCTGAGCCACCCAGATGTGGCGGCTGGGAGGGACGGTCGCTGCGCGCCACGTGGCGCCGTGGCGGTGACGCGCAGGTCGAGGGAGCACGCCGGGGTCAGCGCCGATTCGGGGAGGGGGGTGGGGGAGACGTCGATTGCACCGCGGTCCCCGCCATCTCTCCAAATGCGCTACGAACCCGGGCCGGCCGAGTTCGATTCCCGCTCACGGGCCACCGACACCGGTGACGATTATCTGAACCGGTCCCGGGCCTCCCCTAGGTCGGCTCAGCCTCACAATGAGTACATGGCGCTAATGTGTAAATATCGCCGCCGCTGGGGAAACAAAAGCGGCCGGGCGTGGTGTTGGCCACCCCCTCCTCCCCCTCGTGTGCCGTGCCGGCCTTCATGGGTGCTACTAGCCAACAGCAATTGCCCCAACAGTCTGTTAAGGCTACACGGGGGATCTTTGTCTTTGGGAGTCGGCACGTGGATTGTGCAGTACAGTACATTGCCAGAATGGGGGATGGGGTGGGGGGAAGGCATTAAAATGTCCAGCTACACGTCCCTGGGTCTGGAGGCTTTGTGTCACCCCCCCCTGCCCTCCCCCAGATATGGCGAGTGCGGTTTGCACGCACGCATAAGAAGGAGGCGACTGACCCGTGTGTGCTGCGTTGTGCAAGAGAGACTTTAGCTCATGCGAGCACGCGCCGGGGGGGGTGGGTGGAGGAGGGATAAATAAATAATACCGCACTCTGTCAATTTCATATCCAGCGGGGGCAACTTTCACCGAGACGACATCATCAGTGTGAGGGCCGCCACCCACTTCCTGTTTTTGTCCCGATTTCTCTTTGCTTCATGGCTGTCCTTTGCTTTTAGGGGCCGGCCATAAATGACGTCACGCACCTGGGGGGGGGGGTCAGACATTCGTGACGAGGGGGGCGTTGAGAAATGTGACGTCACATCAAAATGCGCAACTTTAATTAAATTTAGACAACACGTTCTACTTATATTCTTGGTTCTTTCGGTAAAGTCACGTAGAAGGAAAAGAATAAAATAATAACAATTGTATTGTTTTATATTTTTATTATTTTATTGTTTCCCTTCTACGTGACTTTACCGAAAGAACCAAGAATATGAATCCCTGCAGTCACGAAAGCTTTAAATCAAAACGTTCTACTTAATTAAATAGACTTTTAAATAAATGTGTTCTCCTACAACATCAGAGTGCAGCGCCACATTAAATATGCACTACAATGACAATAGTTTAAAGCGATTTGAAGCATGTTTTATATATTTTTTTTGGGGGGGGGCAGAGGTTTGTGACGTCATATTTGAGGGGGGGTCTGACCTTTTTGTGACGCCGTGTGACTAGGGGGGGGGGGGGGTGGTCAAAAATCGTCCAAAATCGCGTGATGTCATTTATGGACGGCCGCTTATGCGATTTGCTTTTGTCACTGTGGGTGGCGCAGGTGAACTCTTGCTGGTCTCTTTGAGTTCCTCCCTGGTGTCACGGAATAAACTGCAACTCGTGTCCCTACTCTCTTGGGGCGAGACTCAACATGTTTCCAAGGACAGGACAAAGTGGAAGGAACTCATTTGCGGCCTTTATACCCCATCGGGGATTAAGCGGATTAACTAACTAACTGATTGACGTTCGTACTCAAGCAGGACTGCTGACTTCAGGGTTTCCGATACAGGTTTCGGCCAGCCGTGATGAGACCGAGTTTCCAAGGGGTAGCGAGTTGATAGATTCAGCCTCATCACTGATGGACGAATACATGCGCAACTAAATGTCAAGTTGAAATAGTCTCTTCACTTGATTACCGAATGTGTGTGGGGTTTTCTCTGTTTGTTTGATCGCTGTGCAGCCATCGCGGGGCAATGAGAAGCCGCACCATCTGGTCAGGGTAACGAGGCAATTAACGGGGACTTGAGAAATAGTTCTGAGTTGTCATCTGCCAGAAGCTGTTGTCTAATCTGTTTTTGTTTTTGTTGTTGTTGTTGCTGCACTGTTTTGCACAAGTGTACTGAATGGAAGTGGTGTTGGTTTCTTGACATGGGGCCAACATTATTGGGAGAAAGGGACAGATGATTAAACAAAGAAGAGGAAGGAATGCCAGAAAAGTAAACACGTTATTTGTCAAACTCCACACTCGGAAGAAATCCCACAACCCCCTGCAGCGAAATCTTCACTGAACCAACGCAATTAAAATGTCGACTGCAGGTGACCGCATCTCGAAGGGTCTGCCGCAGCAACAGTGGCCGTGTTCACTTCGTAGCGAGCGGAGGCTTTCAGTCGCAGGCGGAGGGAGAAAGCAAAGTGTTTGGCCCTGTGCTTGAACCGGCCTACAGGGGCAAGGAGGTCAATAGCTAGAATGTCTGTGGTGGGGAGAAGGAGTTCAAGACTGTGGGAGGCACGGGTTATGACGATACCAAGATGTTAACTACCTCGCCTGATATACAGGACGTCATGGGTTCGGTCCCGACCCTGACGCCAGTTGTATATTTGGAATTTGCGTGTCGTTCTCTCACTGTGGTCGCGTGGAATTTTTCTCCAGGTCCTCCGGTTTTTCCCTCCGCATTTAAAATCAACGTGCGTTTAGAGTATTTAGCTGCTATAAATTTCCACCATGATGATAAGCCACTTCGTTGATCAATTATTTGTGATCACCAAAGAGCTACATAGCTATATAGCTCAGTGGGACCTTACCTGATAAAATAAAAAAAAAACTCGTTTATAGTTTGTATAGTTTTTTTTATTTTAATGAGCGGCACGGGCTTATGAGAAGGAGTTACAGTTTCAGACCACGGGGCCGTTGTTGGCATCGTCATTGTCATCGTAGCTTAGGCTTATCGACTGAGTTCTTCTCGTGTGGCCAGACCACTCCCATCACGCTGGCTCGCAGTACGAATGGCATCACGATCATTGGCCGAACCGTGCGTGGAATTGGTGGGGGGGGAAGGAGCGGGTGCGGGGAGCTGGAGGGTGAGTGGAGGGCAGGGCGGGGGGGTAGTGGAGCGTGCGGGTGACGGAAAGCAGGCGACTGTTCAACTGACACAGCCCGCGGAGAGAAAGGCATTGGCAGACGTAAGCGTGGACCGGAGCACGTTTGCCTGATGTCAGAATCAAATTGACGAGTGCATTGTTTAAAAATATATATAAATTATTCGGACTCTTTCCTATATTAGTCTACGAACACGTGCAGCCCTTTGTGAATCCACCGCTGGGTGAGGGCTGCACCGCACTGTTGCGGATAGCGCGGCCACTCTGACCACACTTCACCGCACTGCACGGGTTATGTGACCATACTTCACCGGGCTGGTCGGTACAGGCCGTTGAGAGCGGAGAGCAAAATCAAAGCCAACAGTTGAGGACGTTGCATGGACAGCAGTGGCAACGTGTCCCATCAAATAAATAACGAGCCAACAGCACACTCTCAAAAATGAGACGTCCTATTTCAAGGGATTGCCCGGTAAACATGCAGCGTTGGGCCAACGTTCACATTGTGGTTGTAACTGTTAGGCCCAGGGGCGGAGCCAGGATTTCAGGCCGGGGTGACATTCAACAAATTTCAATTTCAAGAATGATTAGAGAGTCAGGCTGTTGAACTTGACGCCATCGGTTGGCGACACGCTCTGACAATGCAGTTGCACGGAGTCCGCCAGACCGAGTGTGGTACACTTATACGCAGAATGTCACCCCTGTCACCCCCCCCCCCCCCCCCTGGCTCCGCTCCTGGTTAGGCCCAACGTTGGACGGACGTTGGCCCAACATTCAATATATGGACTGGGTACCCAGGTTTAAAATTCAAACAGCAATAATTAAAATCAACACCCGAAATAAAAGATTCGTCCGTAACGCGCGCGCGTGGCGGCGAGCAAGTGCAGCGGTGTCTCTCCGCGTTGCTCTGTGCTGCACCGCAGCTCCTGTGGTTGTTTGTCGCTTTGCCGCTCTAGGTGTTCGACGGAGCCGTGATCATCCTGTCCTTCGCCCCCATGGTGGCCTCCACGGTGGCGAACGGTCCACACAGCCCCTGGGACGGCCTCAGCCTCATCATATCGCTGCGAGTCTGGAGGTTCAAGCAGATCATTGACGGTGAGAGACGCGCCACGCGGGGCCCACGTTCCGTGCATACGCGAGGCCACTGGTGTCCACTCACTACTGGATGAAGGCCATCGCCGTCAGGCGCTGTGGGGGTCCACGGGGGGGGGGTGGTGGTTTGGGGGTCTATTTAACCACCACACTGGCCAGTACGGGTTGGAGTTTGCTGCACCTCCCTTGGCAATACAATCAACATTGACCAGCACCTCCAATTAGCATGGTTGGCTACGTCAGGCGTGCAAGAAGTAAGGTGAAGTGTAGAGGGCACCGCCAGGACCAGTTTAGAGGTCGCTCGCCACCGATGCTGGCCGAGGCCGGAAATGACCTCGGGTTACTGGGTTTATAGCGCAGTGTGCTATCCACTGCGTGACCGCTAACCCTAACTCGCGGACAATCGCGACATCATTAAATCCTTGTTTTATAACTGAACGTCGTGAAAAATAGATCTGCTCTCTACTGGATTTTGCTCGGAGGCTTACCGAGTCTAATCCACGCTACTGGATTATGTTTCAGTGCGCGATGAACTGAAGGGCTTGCGAGTGGTAACTGCTCATCAGCAACGTTTATTTTGTGTTTCATCATCAGCTATTATTTATCCACTGCTGGATAAAGGCCTCCCCATATCATTGCCGTCCTACACAATCCCTTGATGAGGTGATTTTATCACCTCTGTCTCCACTGTGGTTATTCTTGTTAGGCTTGTTTCTCTTCCTTTGGCTGCCATTCTGTCACTCGCCTTGTTCATCAGCCATCATTCCTTCTCGTGATGAGTACTGTTCAAGTGCACGTTACTTTATTGCCAGGGAAGTATTAATGGAAAGGCTCGTCTCTACCCTAAGAAGGACACAAGGACAATCACACATTAACTTCCCACAAAGTGGCACCCGTTTTAGCGACCCTGGCTGGTTCACGGGTTGAGTCGAAACCCCAACCGGGGATTCGAACCTGTCAACTTTCAATTGCGAGCCGTGTGCCGTAAACCTTAGCTTCTGAATTCTGACGAGATCCACCACTACCACCATTGCCGGTCCGAGTGGTCATCAGCTGGAAACGTTGTTTGTACGCGACGTGCAGCACCAACGAGCTACATTACACAGAATTAAAGAATATGTTTTTACCCTTTCTGGCAATAAAACGATTGTGTTAAGATGTTAAACCACCAAACTCAAACCATTTGCAAGGAATCATGTCTGCATTAACCACATATACTTGTGGTGAACATGCAAAGAAAAAACATGGTCTGATAATATATGTATTGTCTTTGAAACTGATTAGTCCACACCAGAGACAGCTTTCTTTGATTACCAGAAAGGGTAAAACCTATTATTATATTTTGACGCTGCAAAGGGAGGTCCCATGATACATTACACAGAGTTATTCTGACCGACCTCGTGCCAGCTAGTTCACGTGCTGCTGGTGGGAGCGCCGACCGAGGGCCGGCTCGGCGAGCTCCGTCTCCCTTGTTCCCCTTGGCCCCTGCCCGGGTGGCGAGGCCGCGAGGAGGCCGCTCCCGGCCCGATTCTCCACCTTCACGTGAAGCGGGTGCCCTCCGCGTTTTGTTCGAAGCGCAATAATCGCAACGGATCGGCCGCCGCCCCGTTCTGCGAGTGCTCGAGCGTCGCGTGGTGTGACTGGATGGGGTTGTCGTGGCGTGCTGGCAGAGCGAGTCCACTCCGTTGGGAGGGGCTGCAGAAAGAAGGCGGCTTGTGGACCAGACAATGTGGCACACAGCCCAGGGCCTCGGTGCCTTGCTCCTGTATAGTGGAACAAATTGAGTTGCTTGTTTGTAAGGCGTTTTCCCAATACGTGTCTTCATGCATGTGTTCATCTGTGTGTTTGTGCGTATACACATGATTTAAAAGTGCATAGCTCCAGTGGAGCGGTAGTGTAGCGGTTAGCGCTATGCTGCGCTACGAACCCGCTCAGGACCAACACCGGTGACGATTATCTGAACCGATCCTGGGTCTCACCTGGGTCGATTCAGCCTGAAATGAGTACCTGGTGCGGTGGGTAAACATCACCACTGGGGAGACAAAGGCGTCCGGGCGTGGTGCTGGCCACCCACCTCCTTGTGTGCCGTTACCGAACTTAATAGGTGCTCGCTAACAGTACCTGCCCCGACAGTTTGCGAAGGCTCTACGGGTGATCTTTGCCTTTGTACACATGTGCGTTGGGAACAGTGTCAGAGTGGTTGGTTCACTCTGCTTTGACACCAGGTGACCTAAGTTTGATGCCAGGTCACGGCTCACGTCAATGGTGGCGTGACATCCAAATTGGGCCCAGGCCTTCCCTACGTCGACTTAGCCTGGCAATTGGAACCTGCCTGCTGTCGTGGTCCATAAACATTGGCACTGGGGAGATGAGGACTCACCACACCATTCCCCGTGCGCCTTAATAGGTGCTCGCTAACAGCAGGGGCGGAGCCGGGGGGGGGGGGGTGACAGGGGTGACATTCTGCGTGTATGTGTACGACACTCGGTCTGGCGGACTCCGTGCAACTGCATTGTCAGAGCGTGTCTCTAATCATTCTTGAAATTAAAATTTGTTGAATGTCACCCCGGCCTGAAATGCTGGCTCCTCCCCTGGCTAACAGCACCTGCTCAAACAGCCCATATGACAGAATAGGGTGAATCTTTGTATTAGTGTATATCTACAGGGTGCTTCATAAAAATGTTAACATTTCGGCAAATTTTTTAACCCATTAACTATAAATTTGTTATCATGTTACAGTGTATTATCCCTTCTGTTTCGATTAAAAACGATAGCCCCATATAAGTGTTAAAAAAACATTTTTAAGCACCCTATATTCATACGTGTGGCTTTTAATAGTTGCTTGATAGCATCAATAGGTGCGACAGATTATAGGCGGAATCTGGGGTGTTTGTCTTGGCAGCACTGAGCCCATCGTTTGAATCTGAGAACGGCCACCAACTGAGAACCGCACGCCGTGCGGGGCCTTGTTACTCGCGTGCCGGTGAACTCACGCGCGTGGCGAGGTGCCGTGTTCGTGGCGGGGCGCGGTGATCTCTATACATCCGAGCCGAGACAATTCGTCGATTGCTGTGGCTGTTGGTTTGAAGTGCACCGGGGAAGAATTCTTCGAGTTTTGCTGCTGTCATTAGAATCACTCAGTTGGGATTACGCACGACAATCATTTCCCCCCCCCCTCTCCCCCACCGCGTAAATTTGGCAGGGACTCTCCTGATTGATTTTTTGCCCTTGTTCGTGCACCTCTGATGAGCACAGTTGGCTACATACGGTGTGAAAGAAGGTTTAATGTACTGTGCGAAAACACATGCGAAATCGAGTCAGTAAGGCTTTCCTGGACAATCAAGCATCGTAATAATATGAATAGGTTAAATGTGAAAATGGCATATACTACTCATGGTGGTATAGATTAATCGATCATCGTTGATATTTAATCTCACCGCGCGTGCGCAGAGTCGCAAGTGTGAAACAATATTTATTGTTCGATTGTGCGTTTCCAGCGGTCTCACTTTACCCCTGCTGCCACTGGAGGCGCTACCGTCGATTCGACCTTCAATGCGAAGAAAGTGTTACCCCGGTGTCCTGAGTCCAATGGCAATGCTGCACTGCACCGCAGCACTTCGTCGATGGGCGGCAGCGATACTCGCCGCGACCGTAATGCGCGTGGAAAAAGTCCTGCCCAACGATCGCTAACCTCGGCGAGAGGTGCCTTCGTTTTGGCCCACGGAGTTCTGACCTTTGCCGCCGAATTGAAATTCCCAGCGAGGAGCAGCGTCGCGGTGGTCAGAGTGCGCGCTTGCGTTTGCCGACCGGCCGATGTGAGATTGATTTCTGACCAGGGTCAGCAAAGCGTGGGCGCCGGGTGGAGGTTCCAACCGAGCCGTCGACAAGCCCCGTCATTTATCCTCGCAATGACCAGCGTGGCGAAGTATGGTCAAATAACCACCACGGCCGACAGACAGCGTGAGAATGGCCCAGTATTCCACACGCATGGGGGTGGGGGGGAGGGGTTGTTACAAACTCTGACACGGCGTATGTTAAATATCGCGCAAGCAGACAGTACGTAGGTTTGCACTGTTAGCAAGCAATCTATTTAGTATCGATTCCCTCTGAGCTTTAGTCAATTATGCAATTAGTCGTTAGTGGCAGCTTTAATATTTATAAATGTCTCGTTCGAACGTCATCTGTACGCGCAAGTGCATGTGCACGCGTGCACTTGCGCGTACACCCTTTTGTCTACGAGGTGACGGGAATGAATATTTTCTCTCCCCCACTCCCCTCGCCACCCCCAGAGGTCATAAAAGTTGGCCGTTTTGGCGTTAATATCGCGGCGCACTGTGGCCACCATCAGGCCCCCGTTCCGCACGCGCGTTGCCTCGTAAAACGTGCAATAAGTTGACTTTTTTTCCTTTTATTGCGCTAATTGGATCGAGTGACGTGGGATATCGCGTGCGAATGGGCAGCGGCCGTGCACGCCCGAGAAGCGGGGCCATGCCTAATGAGCTATTGATGAATAATTATTCCCTTTTTTGGGGGGTTTCCACCACCCTGCCATGAAAGTAATTATCCCCCTCCTTAGCGTGGCCGGTGCAATCGCCGTTGACATTTTAGATGCCTCGGGGAGCGCCCACCCCCCCCCCCCCGCTCACTGGTGCCAGCGTTGCGCTTGCGGCGCCTGTGTCTGTGGGCATCCTCATAGCGCGCTACGAGGAGAGTGCTATGAGGAGAGTGCTATGAGGAGGGTGCTATGAGGAGAGTGCTATGAGGAGAGTGCTATGAGTAGAGTGCTATGAGGATGGTGCTATGAGGATGGCGCTACGAGGAGAGTGTTATGAGGATGGTGCTATGAGGAGAGTGCTATGAGGATGGTGCTATGAGGATGGCGCTATGAGGAGGGTGCTATGAGGAGGTCACTATGAGGATGGCGCTATGAGGAGGTTTCTATGAGGAGGCTGCTATGAGGATGGCGCTATGAGAATGGTGCTATGAGGATGGCGCTATGAGGA